AAAAAAAAAAGAAAATACGTTCAGCATAATTATTCATCAGGGAAATGCAACACAAAAACAAAAAAACTACAACACAGTAAGATATCACTTCACACCTCCTAAAACTCATTGCCATCGAGTAGATTCTGACTCTTCGTGACCCTGTAGATTTTCTAAGGCTGTAAATCTTTATAGGTGCAGGCGGCCTTATCTTCTGAAGAGCAATTGGTGAGTTTGAACCACTGACCTGGTAGTCAGCAGCCTTAATACCTAACCTCACAGCTTAATAGCAATTAAAATCTACAGCAGCGGTTCTCAACCTGTGGGTCGTGACCACTTTGGGGGGGGGGTTGAACAACCCTTTCACAGGGGTCGCCCGATTCCTAACAGTAGCAAAATTACAATTATGAAGTAGCAATGAATATAATTTTATGGCTGGGGGGTCACCACAACATAAGGAACTGTATTAAAGGGTCACAGCATTAGAAAGGTTGAGAACCACTGATCTAGAGGTTATAATAGAAAGGTCAGGTGATAATAAGTGCTTTTGAGGATGTGGTGAAACTGGAATTTCGTATAGCCACTCTGAAAAACAATTTGACAATTTCTCATAAAGTTAAACATTGAGTTACTATATGATCCAATAATTTAACTCCTCGGTATATAACCCAAGGGAAATGAAATGAAAAAATAATAGAATTTCTCCATGAACTTTTTACAGCCCCTTATATATGCTCATATATGTTCCTAGGGGTATTATTCACAACCGGCAATAGGAGAAAAAGCTAAAAGATCCATCAACTGATAAATGGATAAACAAACGGTGGTATATCCCAGACAATGGAATGTCATTTACCTTTATTTACCTACATTATTAAAAGGAATGAAATATTAATATATGCTACAACCTAGCCAACCCTTGAAAACATTATGCTAAGTGAAAGAAGTCTGTCAGAAAAGGTCTCACATATTGTATGATTCCACTTAAAAGAAACATACAGACAGAAAGTAAATTAGTGGTTGCCTAGGGCTGAGAAGTTGCAGGGGGATAATGACTAGGGAAAGGAGTTTCTACTTATAGTGATTAAAATGTTTCAAAAGCATCTATTGTCTAAGAACAATTAGGTCTTATGACAGCCCTCATGAAGAGATCACTGAAGATATGGGGGTGTACAGCAGTGCGTTAGTCTGGATAGACTAGAGAAACAAATCCACAGAAACTCATATGTATATAAAAGAGAGTTTTATATAAAAGTTAAGTGTACATTAAGAAAGCATCCAAACCCAGTCCAGTCCAAATCCGTAAGTCCGACATTAGTCCATATGTCCACCACCACTCCACAAAGTCCTCCTCCATCTCACAAAACAGACGCAATGATGCCGACTGCAGGGGGAAAGTCAAAGAGTGAGCGTGTGAGCATCTCAGCGCTGGCAGGGGTCTCCAGGCAGCTGCTCCAGCACCCAGGGCTGCATCAGGGTAGGTCCATGTGGCTTCTTCTCAGGTATGTCTTGCAGGTGAGCCTTGCCAGCTGAGCCTTGCCAGCTGAGGCCAAGATCTAGCTAAGGCAGCCTCACGCTGATCTGACTATCAGAGAACAAGAGACCCGAGAACCAGAAAGGCGAGGCTCAGCGAGTCATTTATCTCTCCGCCCTTCAACTAATCCCACATGTGTTTATCGGCCAGGTTGGCACAATAAACCTTTACTATCACAAGCGGGGGAAATTCTGCAGAAACTGTTGTGATACTGAACACATCGTACAAGGACAGTGCTATGGGAAAAACTCAAGTGTACGAGTGGTTTTCTCATTTCATAAAAGGTAAAATGTCAATCGATGACAAACCTCTTTCTGGACATCTGTCAACTTCCCAAACTGATGAAAATGTCAACTAGTAAGTAGTGCATTTGGAGTTCATTCCACCAGGTCAGGCTGTTAATCAAGCTTTCTTTTTAGAGATTCTTAAAAGATTGAGTAACAGTGTGCTACAAAAAAGGCCTGATTTGTGGGACTAGTTGCCAGCACAACAATGCATCTGCTCACTCGGCCGTCTCAGTGCACCAGTTTTTGGCAAAAAGCAGCATGCCTCTCTTGCGCCATGCACCTTACTCACCTGACCTCCATGCGACTTCTTTTTGTTTCTGCAAATGAAGAGGGACACGAAAGGACAGCAATTTGACTACGACATAGAAGACGTGAAGAAAAAAACCAGGGAGATGCTGTCAGCCATCCAAACACATGAGTTTGAAAACTGTTTCCAAGAATGAAATCACAGATTTGACAAATGTAATGTAGTTGACAAGTGTAATAGAGAGTACTTTGAAGGTGATAAGGTTGTTTTGTAAAAAAAAAAAAAAATACATAGCTTTGAAACAAAAATTCCAGTTTTGGGTGGGTACACCCTTGT